GTCTAGGATATCTGCTTCATTGCTGATCTCTGGTACCTCTGGTGGTCTAGGATATGTCTAAGAAGGATGAGAGTGAGCACTTTACCTGATATGTATGCAGTGTAATGTCATGGTACTTGCTGCATTCCTGTTAGTCCCTCTTCCCCTTCCAGAGAGGGATGATCATGCCCTACAGCAGCTTTGGAGAAATAGTACTAGAATGCCAGATTGTAATCAGGAGTGCATGCAATCCACAAGCCATTGATTTCACTTCCAGTATTTGACACTTCAACAGGTGTGTCACAAATGTCCGCTGCTTTACTACCCTTTAGGTTTTAAAACATCAGAAGGAGAGCCACAGCCATTCTATGATAAAAACCACAGAACTCAGCACCCCAGTAACCCATGTAGTTCTGGAAGATCTAGTGAGTACTAACAAAGATGTGATCGATCTCCTGGGCCACATTACCTGTATTGCAGTGCCACATCCAGTAATGCAGGCCTAATATCAGGCTATATTCACTACTGGTATCAGCCTCTGATCTTTGGGATCTGTCAGGCATCTTATAGTCAGCTCATTCATTTTGGATATGGAAAACAGCTGTCTACTATGGAAGCAGGGTTGGCATTGAATACTTTCAAACCAAATTTCTCTACTCTGATAGAAGCTATATGCAGATATATGCATTAGTCTCAATACCATTATCATTATATGGTCATCAGCTGGAATTACCTCTACTACCGAAGGCTGAAATCTGCTGGAGAGGGTTATGGAGGAACCATAACCATTCTCAGCAGATTTCAGCCTTCAGTAGTAGAGGTAATTCCAATAGCAAAAGTCACCATTTTCTTGGAGTAACCATGAAGATGGTGACTATTGCTGTGATGTGACCAATAATAGTTGTAAATAAACCCTACTTAAAGCTGCTGCCAGGTCATCTCACTCCTAAGAGGCAGCCAACTCAACCTCAGCCACTTCAGCTCTCTCAATAGCAGTGTTACTCAGTCATCCTCTTACAAAGAGCAAAGATTCCATGCCTTCACTTTGACACCTGTCTAAAGCTAAACCTCAGGTAGCCACTCGGTGCCTGCCACTTCTGCAACCCTCCCTGGCAGTGCCCCAAATGAAGGTGGGCAGCAGATTACAGGACCTAGTATCTGCATGTGCAGTTCCTTAACCCTAGAGTGATGGGTACACCTATATCCGTCATGACGCCCCTATGACATGTATACATGTCATGACTCTTAGTGGACGGGCTGTCTGTAAGCTTAGGCCTAGCCATTAATTCTAGACTCATGCATATATTACATGACAAATAAATCAGGCCCTGTCATAGGGTTAAAGCCTCACGTAGCCTAGCACTAGTTTGGTATCCACTAGGGCACAGGAGGATGGGATCCCCCTATTCCTTAATGTGTTTCACTGTTTGCCCTTTGTAAGGGACCCATAGGAACCACACTGATTGAGACAGGATATTTATCATTATCCTTATTATTATCCTTATTATTATCATTATCATACCATTATCATACTTTTTTTTCGTAAAGATTATTACTATTACTACTACTATTATTATTATCACTATTGCTATTATTATTGTTAATATTATTATTATTATTATTATTATTATTATTATTATTATTATTATTATTATTATTATTATTATTATTATTATTATTTTATTTTATTATTTTTTTATCTATTTATTTTTATTATTATTGTTATTGTTATTATCTTTTTTATTGTTATTGTTATTGTTATTATTATTATTATTGATAATAATATTACTATTACAATTGATACCATGATCATCATTATTATTAGTGGTATTACTGTTATAGTCATTATTATGATCTTCATTGATGTTATTATCATCTCTCTTGATGTAAGCTTTGTCCTTGTTAGTTTTTGTTATTTTTATTTTTGTTATCATCATCATTGTTATTGTTATTGTTAATATTATTGTTTTGTTGCCATTATTATTGTTATTATTGTTGTTATTATTATTATTATAGTAGTAGTAGTAGTAGTAGTAGTAGTAGTAGTAGTAGTAATGCCCAAAATATGGGGATTCGGCTTACATGAGTTGACACTGCTGGCTGTGCGGCTTGTAGGCTCACGTGCGGTGACAAGACTCCATGCCTTCCCTTGGCAATGTTTTTTATTTTTTTATTCATTTTCAAAAATTTTGTAGAAGCATTTTTAGCTTTTATGCCATTTTCCAATGTCTATATTTGTTATTTACTTTGCTTTATTTAGATGATAATTGACTTTTTTCTGTGCATAGACCCCATATCATCTCTCTAGGTAGTCCATAATTAGTGCAATAATGATAACAATATGTGACATTTGGCTATTTGTGTCATAAAGAAAATCATGAAATTTAATTTTCTGTAATACACCCTTCACTACCAGTCAGGGCAGCAAGGAATAGGATCCTGAGCATGGAAATAGCATCCTCCCTGGAGCTAGCACTCTTCCAGTCATGACTCAGACATTACATTCTACATTTGTTTATCATTAAGAATAATGTAAAAGCCCCTTCCTAAACACCTAATGAGTCTAATCACCCGCCAAGAGTTTTGTGCACTTGTGGTGTCTTTCTTGTCACCCTAGTGTTCAGCCAAAATGCTTACAACAGCATCATCTGGATCATAGGGGTTAGCTGGCTCAATGGGCTAAGATTTCCAAATACTATTCTAGCATATGGAGTTTGAAACTGTCTGGTGCTGCAAGTGATTCAGACCCAAGCTAATTCTAGCACACAGATAAGGTGGTAACCTACTTGTAGTTTGAGGCTTTGCATCATCAGACTGCTGGCCACCTTATTTATTACTTCTTTATTTATTATGGCCATTTCATAATTTTCAAATTTTCTCAACCAGAAAAAATATGGTATGTCATTTTAGGAATAATACTTAATTGATCATGGATATCCCAAACCATAGTGAAAAGCTTACCATGGCAAATGAATGTAGAAATGATAGAGTGAATGAACATAAAATGTGCATGTGCCAAATATGAGCTGTAGTGCCATCTCTGAAGCATGTAAAATGAAGCCAGACAAATCATTTTTGAAAGTGCATGAAATGGCAAATTTAAATCCAAACTTAACCTTCTTGATTGAGAAAAATTGCATGCCAACCATTGCTCTTTACAACCAACTCTGATTTTCTTTTGATAACTGTACATTTTTGGGGGATAATTTTTATTTCTTTAGCTCCATTAATTCTGTATATTTGAATTGTATGCTTGTTTTTGAAGCAATTTACAAGCTTGGATATATGTAGGTAAAAATAAGATCAACTGCAACTTTATGATTCCCCTCAATGTGGCTCTGACCACTGAGCAGCTTTGATCCAAATGTTTTTAGGCTCCAGTCAATTGAATGAATCATGATAGGAAGTCAAATACTGAGGCAAAGTTGTTATAATTTTTTAACAAGACCTTTAAATGTAGGCTGTTTTGCTGTGTCTTAATGATAGATATGCGATGAAGAGTTAGTGGTTAACTTCACTTAAACATTATAAAAAAAAATCTTGTTAATCATATTGATAATGATTTTTTCTAATTTTTTCTATAGAATTTTTAACAGTCTTATATGGGCAAATCTGCATATTCACCTACAAATATGTAATTTAGTGTGTTTATATTTTCAGAGATTTTATTTGCAATTTATTTGTTTTTTTATATGTTCATTTTTAATTCTCTGTCTTGCCAGTATTAGAATCTGAATTCATTATGGTAAGAGATATAAAATTTGGTATGTTTATGAAAGAACTTTTTTTATAGTATGAAACTGAATGCTTCATGCTGTACTGTAGATAGTATCTCTTCTTGTCTTTTTACCTGCTTGCTATGGCTTGTCTCTGGGTTTCAGATGGTGTGTAGTGGTGGTGCCAGTGGTGGTGGTAGTGGTGCCACAGGGGGTGAGGCTCTCGTGTGCCGGGTAGCTGCTGTGGTTCCCGGTACGAGCGAGGCTTCAGCAAGGCAGGCATTACATGTTGCCAGCGGGGATTACCAGGGTGCTGTGCGCTTCCTTAAGGTGGAAAAACTTTACAGGTCAGCATAATTTTAGGAGTTTTCTTGCTTACTGTAAGCTTCCTTGTTTTTCTAACATGTTTCTTTTTAATAAATTCATGGCTTGTTCATTGCTTGTCTATCTGTTTTTTTCTTTTCCTCTCTTACTCCTTTCTTCTTTGTATCTCCCTCTCTCCGTGTTTCACTCTCTTTACTAATTTTGAATTCTATTCCAGACTGGGTGTAACGAGCAAAGATGAGTGTGAGGTGATTTTGGAGGCCAACAGCTGGGAGTTAGAAAGGTCAGCCTCAGCTCTGCTAGACAAGTTTGTCTAAGAATGGAAAATAGAGATGCTAAGTTGGATCCCTCTAGACGTGCAAAGGAACATTGCTGGTATGACTGTCAACAACAGAGCCATATGCAGGAACAAAGGTTATTTAATTACTTTTTTATAGAAACATAAACTAGGTATAATCTCTGCTGTAATACAAAGAAATGTAATTACCATGTGCATTTTATACCATATACATCCATAGATTTATAACTGGTTTCTGTGATCAGTATTTTGAATGTATCAATTATAGATTTAAATTTGCATTTTCCAGATCCTAAGCATGATCAGATACATGGAAGAGATTGCTTTCCAGTTTGACAAGCAAACTATATGTCTTAGTGATGATTCTGCATGTTGGTGTGCATTTGAATCCCACTTTCAGTCCGTGAAGCTTTTTTGATCCATTTTGAGGATGATTGTAATGATGATTGT